TAGACCATGACAATGTTCAGAGACAAGTGGCGTACTGCACCTCCCAGATGTATTATGTCTCTCTCAGCATCAATACTTCTTTGATATACCCCGCCAACGTTGTTGCCAAATTCCTAATCTTTTGTTTTATCAATTGAATGGTGGTAATCACGTTGAGACAGTGACAAGTGATGTCCATTGGTGTCCTCAGTATCTCCGTCGTGGACCTAGCAAAGACAATGTGATGCTCCTGAAATGTCTAGATCCATAGCTCCCTATGCCCTGCATCAAAGTTTTCATTTATTAAGAAAGATTTACCGGACTCTTTGTTGGTGAGAAGAATCTCGCTGGTCTCGAGACTCCTTCCCTCCCGTTTTGTAGCCAATGACTTCTGGTCCACGCTTCCTACTGCTAGTCTGTAACAAACCCGGGACTGCTCCAAGTCCCCACGAACAGTAATCACCTCTCCGTCTCTTGGAAACATAATTGTGGCGTGGCATGTGGAAACCACAGCCATAAAACAATTCAGAAGTGAACAGCTGAAAATAATGTTAAAGCTAGGAGATGAGTTTACTATCAGAAAGTCCTCTGATTCAATAAATTGTTTCTCACCTTCAACCCCAAGTGACCGCCAGCTGCATAACGCCCAAGACTTCCTTTCTCTCTCTCAAAAATCCGTACAGAGGGCCAATCGACGCTACTAACCAGTCAGTCTGAAGATTGAGTTTGTCAAACAGTGACTTGAACAAGATGTTCACGGAGCTGCCCGTAACGATGAGGATGCTTCCAACCTAAAAGTTGCTTATTATCCCCGTTACAATGATAGTGTCGTTGTAAGGATTTCTCATATGTGGGCAAGTCCTCATCAGTAAACATAATAGGAGGGTAGCTTCCTCTCCTCCACATAGTCGTGTGGATACACAGTTCTCTAGTCTCGGTGGTCCCGGACCTCTTCTGGGAGGCTCTACAGGAGGATTGTTCCTCCGAAAATGGCTAGAATTGTCCCAACGATGTGGACGACAGTCGTCCAGACGGACCCAACAAAGGTCTGCTGACATTTCTATTGTCGAGACTTTGACTCCTTCAGTTTTCCCGCCTCAATCAATTACTTGATGAGTTTTCAGAGGTGTCTGCATTCCTCTGTATCGTGGTCATGGTCCCTAGTGGTACTTACAATATTTACTTGAGTCCCAGAGCAAAGCTTCGATTCTCATTGGTGTGGCCTCCTTTAAGTATTCTTTGTACCCGATGGAGTTCACATCTCCTCCATCGATACCCTCAACGGGGTAGCCATAGGCAGTTGAACTCACTGTACAGTTATTTATAACATCGTGTCGGCCTCTCATAGTACTGAGTCAGCCTCAGGTAATGGTTCCTCACCTGAACTCCCTGCTGGTTGTATTGATCAGACACCATTTGTTGTTGTGAGAGGATTGGTCGTCTTCGTATTGCCGCCTGACAGGTGTTCTATGGTCCTCCTTTGGCTTCAACCCGTTGTTGAGGGGAACTCTCTTCTAGGCCTGGTGCTCCTCCGATTCTCGTTGGGCTCCGGCGTTGCATCCTGGGATGGATTTTATTCCTGGGGATCTCGCTTTCCCTCAGAGCTGTAACGACCCTTAGGACTTTGGTGGTATCCTCAGCGTCTCTACAATGGACCCAGCAAAGACATCGTGATGCTTTTGAAGCGTCTGGAAACACGGCTCCCTGTGCCGTGCATCAAAGTTTTCATTTATTAAGAAAGATTTATCCAACTCTTTATTGGCGACAAGAATTTCTAGGGTAATCTTGCTGGTCTCGAGGCCCCTTCCCTCCCGTTCTGTAGTCTACAGACTCTTGCTCCATGCTTCCTACTGCTCCAGGCCACCACGGATAGTAATCACCTTTCCGTCTCTTGGAAACTTAACTGCGACGTGGCATGTGGAAACCACAGCCTTAAAACAATTCAGAAGTGGACGGCCGAAAATAATGCTATAGCTAGGAGATGAGTCTACTATCAGGAAGTCCTCCATTTCAGTAAATTGTTTCTCACCTCCCCCCCCCCCCCCCCCCCCCCCCCCCCCCCCCCCCCCAAGTGATCGTCAGCCGCATAACGCCCAAAGCTTCCTTTCTCTCTCTCGAAAATTCATACAGAGGGACAACTGGCATTACTAACCGGTCGGTCCAAAGATTGGCTTGTCGAACAGTGACTTGAACAAGATGTTCACGGAGCTGCCTGTGACGATGAGGATACTTCCAACCCGAAATTTGTTTATTATACCTGTTAAAATGATAACGTCGTCGTAAGGATTTCCCTTATGTGGGCAGGCCCTCGTCAATAAACATAATGGGAGGGCAGCTTGCCCTCCACCACACATATGTGAGGTTACACAGTTCTCGGGTTTTGGATCTCCTCAAGGAGGCTCATCAGAAAGACTCTTTTCCCAAAAATGGCTAGACCTATCCTGATGATGCGGACGATATTCGTTTGGACAGGCCCAACAGAGGCCTGTTGAAGCTTCAATTGTCGGAGCTTTGACTCCTTCAGTTTTTCCACCTTAATCAAATACTTGATGAGATTTTTGAGGTGTCTATATTCCTCCGTATCATGATCATGGTTTTAGTGGTACTAAAGATATTTTCTTGAGTCTCAGAGGAAAGCTTCGGTTCTCATTCGTGTGGCCTCCTCGAAGTATTCCTTGTCCTTGTTGGCGTCCACAATCTCCTTCATTGATACCCTCAACTGGGTAGCCATAGGCCCTTGGACTCATTGTACGGTTGTTTATAACGTTGCGCCGACCTCTCATAGTACGAGCCAACCCCAAGTCACGGTTCCTCACCTGACCTCCCTGCCGGTTGTATCGACTAGACCATTTGGTGTTGCGGGTGGATTGGTCGTCTTCTCATCGCAGCCTGACGGGTTGTCTATGGTCCTCCTTTGACTTCAACCCGCTGCTCGGGGGAACCCTCTTCTAGGCCTGACGTTCCTCCAGCTCTCGTTTGGGGGTGCTCTCCTCTGCAATGATGTGTTTGTTGGCCATTTCCAACAGCTCAGCCAAGTCTTTGGGTTCATGCAAACTGCGGTTATATGAAAACCTTCGGACCTCAAGTCTTTCTTCAAGGCAGCTTGGGACGCATTGATTCGAAGGTCTTTCATCTCCAACATCTCCATTTGAAAGCGCATGTTCTCCTGTCGTCCTTGCTTGAGATGCCATAAGGACTGCACGCTCATGTTGGGTTTTCGTGCGCTTGCAAACTGCGCCATGAACAATCTCTTGAAATCAGAGAAGTTATCTATGCTCCTAGCTGGCAACAAGTTAAACCACTTCAAGACTAACAACATCAAAGTGGTGAAGAACAGACGACACTTGAACGAGTCTGAGATCTTGAGCAAGTACATGGCCGACTCAAATGAAGCAATGTAATCGTTGAGGTCAGGCCGACCCCTGTAAGCCTCCGAAGCCAGTAATTTGAACTTCTCCAGGGGCTCAGACCCGTGACTTGGTGGGAGAAAGGATTCTCCAATTGATGTGGGGCTTCAGTACGATTGGCTTGTTGCCTCTCTACTTATGCTTCCAGCGTTATCCTAATATTGCGAGTCTTCGACCCTCTCAAAACCGTGGTTTAATCTTCCCGTTGGCTCCGACACTGCTTTCTGGGGATCTCGCTTTCCCTCGGAGCTGTAACAGCACTTAGGACTTTAGCAACCTGGTCTGACACCTAGTTCATCATTTGGGCCCTCATCTCCTGCATTCCAATGCACGAGCTCTGTACCACTTCTCTTGTTTCTCCTACGTTGGCCAAGTCTCTCTAAGAAATCTCCTCTCATTATGACTGTTGTGCTCCTCTTCTTGTTGAAGGAATGACTCCATGTTTACCGCACCGTTAAGATGTTGAATCCAAAATTATTCGGAAGACAAGCTTAAGGTAAAGAGCACGAAAAAAAAAGAGGGGTGACAGAGATAGCAAGAGTACGGTCTTAAACAGTAACATCATGTAACTTTTATTTATAAAATCAGACCCTTATTGATAAGAATGGGGACTAGTGGATTACATCTATACCCATATAAAGTAAGCACTGTAGAGGGGTAATGGATATTTTACATTATATAGGTTTGGGGTCCTGAAAATAGGCTCCCGTTCTATTAATACTCTAGGCAGCCTTAGGTGGGATGGTTGTCGGATTGAGAGACAATTTGGGTGGTCTTGGGTTGGAGGGTTGTCTGCCTGAGAGACGGATTGGGCGGGCTTGGGCCAGAAAGTTGTTAGCTGAAAAGTGGGATTGTCGACCGGCCTTTTGCCTATTGTTTCACTCTAATCTGGTATTGAGTCGGATCTGTCCATATTGAAATATGTCGAGCTAGAGAAGACGGATTCCTGAACGATTCTCTGTGGGCCCCACACATCATACTCTTTGTTAGCCTTTAGATATCTCCATGATTCGTGTTGGAGCATTTTTAATGTACAATAGTCATCCTTCAAAGATGAGATCAACTACTCTGAAGTCAGCTATTCACGAAGAAGTTGTAATTCATTCATTGTGAATTCAAACCTTTCGTTGTGAAGCATATCTTTTATGGCACAGACAGCAGGTTTGAGCAAGACAAAAGCTCAGGCTAATGAATGTCAATATAGAGTTAACAGCTTAGGATAGTTACAGAGAAAATGAGTCGGTTGAATTCACTGTTGATGGCCAAACAAAGTTCGCATCTTTAGATGCACTTTGTTTGAAATAAATTTTATTTGCTCAGAGAGGTGTGATTTATCAATGATGAAAAATAAAAAACTGCACTTGACTCAATTTTAAAACCCTATCTTAACTCCAAAAAAACCAACCAATGAAATGCTTCGATGTTCCGCATTGTATACAAATATAGATCCAGCTACAAAATCCCTAAAAGAATTCAGCACTCCAATAACATGTGATGAGAACTAATTAAAAAGAACACAAAGCACAACAACATAAATTGGAAAACGACAAGAACTCACAGTTTAGATTTAGAGAAACAAACAACTAACATCAAGCATTTTCAAAGTTAACTCACCTGTGGATGTCCATAAACAGAAGGAGCAATGTAAACCAAGGGAACACCACAAAAACCGACCTCCTCCGTTGGTCCAACAAGATTTGAGAATGATAATGATGTATTAGAGACGACTCTGTGGCACAAATCTGTTCCCACCTGTTGTCAATTGAAAGGATTAACGATAAACATATCTTCGTAACTTTCAAATTTTGCATCATAAATGAAGCAATTTTAGAAGTTGAAAAATATTAATATAGTTTAGACGGATTCATTCCATGTAAAAACATGAATTACTCTACATATTTCACCGAAGGCCACAACCAATGAGCTAGGAGAAAGCGCGCCGGAGGCTTATTATACGAGCCCTGACCATCTCTCAAACGCCTAAGAATTCGAGTACCACACCCTACACTCGGTCGAACCCCGAATCAGAGGGAACTTACAACTGGCAAGCAGATGCCCGACCAACTCATCTGAGCATGCGGCATATATATATATAGGGGTGCTCTCCATATATATATATATATATATATATATAATGAGCAAATAAGTTTAGTTTGCATGAATCCTGAGGAATCATCGCACTTTCTATGTTTATCCCCGGAGAAAAGCTCAAAAAAAGTAAATAACAAACATACCTTAATGCCCAGAGTCTTAACAATCAACAAAGCAGAAAGATGAGTGAATATGGCCTCCCATGATTTCTTTTTCTTCTCTACAGCTGCTGTTCCCTTTCGGATATAATCCAAAGGGTCGTCACACTTCATTACAGGAAAACGGAGCAAAATGTAACCCATCTGATTACCCCACCTGGCCGCACTGCCCTTTTTCATCATTTCCGCCAAAGACTGACAACAATAAACAATATAAAACAGAAAGCATTAGGCCAATGGGCCATTTACATACATGCCACAATTATTATGTATTTACATATCTAAAAATTCAGGCACATTAGGCAGAGATGAACTGTGTTAGCGTTTACTTACCTGAATTCCAGTGGTGGGCCGAATATTAACAAGCAGGGATGTTCGAATCCGTATGTTTTTGGGAAGAAGGCCTTCATTGCCCCTGCTGAGGTAACGAGTCAAAGCGGCCGACGTGACTCCCACCAGAACATCATTTATGGTCTATGAGGAAATCGGTCGAACAGTTAGTGTGCACTGAACAAAGCATGAATGTAACGACAAATCAAGAAGCGTTCAAAAGGAACTTACGCAACCCATAGCGTTCTTTATGTCCTTAATGTCGTCAAGACTGAGAGTACGATGCACGCAACGCTTCGGCCGAAACTCGACGCCCTCCGACCCCATGATCCGCGTCCTAGTGTCCTTTAAAAAGAAGGCACTGGCGACAAAGAGAAAACTGTGGACAAAACTGTTCAATGTGTAAACAAGAAAGCTCCAGATCCAGGATAGGAGCACACAAGGACCAAAGCCGGTCCCAGCGGCGGTGGACCGGCGGCGGGCAGAAGGGAGAGATGGAAGGGATTCGTTGTCGGAGGTTCGGCGAGTGCAGGCTAGGAACAAGGACATGAGAGACACGCCATCTCCTAGAGAATGATGGATGCGGAAGATAGCGACGCTAGCTGCCTCGGAGGTGCGGATGGCCAGGACATGGATTTCCCATAGCGGACGGGAGGTGTCGAGACGGGAGTGGGAAAGACCAGCGATGTAATCCTCGACAAAGCGGTCGCCGGCGACGGGATCCACTGCGGCGGCAGTTGCGGCGGTGCCGACATCTGGGTAGATAACGTGATCGTCGAGGTTTACCTTGGTCGGGACCCATCTTGGTGTGTCGCGCCCAGACTTGTCCGTTACCTGTCCAATTTTCTGTTGTCATTTTGCTGTTGTCATTATTGTTTTTAATGATTTTTGAAGACAGTAATAATACAGATCGAGGATGCATTCGCAAAGAGAAGTAAGAACTTAAAAATAGAGAAATATTTTGTTGTTGAGTGAAAGTTTAATAGTAATTTGCATCAATTCAAATTTTAATAATCAAAATACTTTTGGGATATAAAATAGAACAATATAACTCACACTTTAAAGCATATGAATAATTTATTAATTTTAATTGACCTTGATAAAATAAACTTAATTTTAATATAAATCACCACCATATGTAAAAATATGAGTTACATAGGATGCACTAAAATAAGATATTTTTTGTGAAATAGAGTATAATGATGTAATCTCTTATGGTGAATCATTTCATCATGAGAGGATTTTTTTTCTTGGGAATTATTAGAGATAAATTATAAAATATATGACTTAAAACTTGTGACACCAAGATTCAGTTTTCTTTAATCAATGAACCATAGTTTTTTTTTTTTTTTGGAAGATTCAACAGTTTCCTTTAATCAATGAACCATAGTTTTTTTTTTTTTTTGATATTTTGTTTTTAGTTAAAAATTTTCAGTTCATTTTGTATGTTTGACTAATAATAATACAACATATTTAGATATACATCACATTTTAACACTATTGCCTCAAAATTATAAAACTAGATATTTTGTTTTTAGTTAAAAATTTTCAGTCCATTTTGTATGTTTGACTGATAATAATACAACATATTTAGATATACATTACATTTTAACACTATTGCCTCAAAATTATAAAACTAAAAGCTCAACAAACTAAGAATTTTTATGTAGGAAAAATACTCTTGCATTTTTTTTTTAATCTAATACTCAAATATACAAGCATAAACATTTTTATGATCATATATAATTCAATAAAGAACAATATTTTCGTATGATATCTCTTTTTAATAAAATATTGAAATAAGATTGTTTGTGATCACATCTTGCTCACAAGCACTTATTACATGAGTTTGTCATGATTATCCACACCAAATTTTTTTTATCAACCTTTCTCACAAATTGGCAAATTCTATTCTCTACATTTATGATCGTGTCTTCTTTCATTTCACATATATTATCACATAATGCCTCCAGTTTTAAGAAACAAGGTGTAACTCTCAACCTTCAAATCCTATATGATTTGCCTAATGATCTAACGTGTCATTTCTTGAGGTGAAATCAGTCAAACTTCTAGATATTGTTCTTCCTTAATGATCAACTTTGTGAGGAATTCGCTTATCAATCTCCCCCAAAATTCATCAACAACTACTAATGCTTGATAAAACTAAGATTTTCCTTTGATCTCACTTAAAGCCTATTTTGATGTGTTCGCATTCATTTGCTTAGCACCTCATCTCAACACTTGTTAATTTGAGATTTTGCAACCAACCTATTGACCTAAAAACAATAATCTTTCTGAAAAATAATCAGGTTGAAGCGTCTGGAAAGGTCATACCTCAATTTTGAAAAATTGAGCCACATCAGCATAGAATTCGAGGGAAAATAGTTATAGGAATAAAATATTTTAGAAACTTAATAAAAATAGAATTTCATTCAAATAAAAAATATGTTATAAGTGGTTCTTCTGCCGCTTTGATTGAGACAAGCGCTTGTCGAAGTAGCTTCTGGTACAAAAATTTACCCCATAACCTAAACCTATTTACACTATCTACTTGAGCCTGGACTTAGAGAACTAACTAGATCGATTGAACATCCCCCAGCTCCACCGAGTGTCCTAACCTTAGGGTCGCTAGTTCCTCTCGCAGTTCCTTTATTTCCGCCTCTTGCTACAACCCAACCATCTAAGCGTAGGATTCCTTTGTTTCCTTCAACTAATAATAAGGCCAGTGGCCTCCACCATTCATTAATGGCTCTTTTGGGTTCTTCTTAGTGACTAGTCGGGAGTTTGATTGCCTTTCCCCTGCTTTGCATCGAAGTTGGAGTATCCAAGCCAGTTCAGAAAATGGATCTCGACTGATGCCTGGTAATCACAAATCAAAGACCAGTATCGCTTCATCTGCACCAACAAAAAACGTCAATAACATAAAGCAAACTTTTTTCTAACTAAAAAGATTGGGTCTCCTCATATTAAAGATTCTATCCATCTCACCACTAAAATGATGAAAAGCTCTCACCAGGCACCGACAAAACGCCCAAAATATTGCTCTCGCTGATCGAAAACAAAATTGTAACCCCATGATCCTCTGGTTACAAAGCTTCAGAAACTCCCTGGGCAAGTTATTAGGCTAATAGATTATAGGCCTTCTTGCCTCCCCCTTCCTTCTGTTGAAGTGTAAGTGAGTTAGATGAAACAATTTCATCCCCTAAGTCTTTCATCTATTTCTTCTTATGAGCAAATTGCTTAACTTGTCTTTCCCACTTGGGTTTACCTCCATCTCCTGGCCTCTTAGCACCCCCCGAGCTTCTTTGCGCACTTGGATTGGCTCCCTCCTTCCGTCTTCTATGTTCCTCTAGGCCTCTTCTAACCTTCAGGTCAGCTCCCTCCTTCAGGTCTTTCATTCTCTCGGGCTCCTTCTCAAGGTATTGCTTCGACGTAAACAACCCAAAGTCTTTGTTGGCATCAATTTTGATATCATTGTGTGGGATGTCCACCTGAATGACCTGGGATTATATTTCATGCATACCTGGCGTCCAGAGCTCAAGACATCCAAATTTAGATCCTCTGACAAGTGTTGAGGGACGCGTGGTCAGGGTCGTTATGTTAGAATTTGACTTTCACTTAGGCGAAGGCAGATCAACATTTTATTTGTTGGACAACTTTGGTTGGACCAAAAGATCTCATTCGTCACGTCGCACGCATATTAGATTTAAATCGGCTCGATTGTTGACAAATTTGTCAAGATGAAATGGACCGCACCAAGAAAATCAATTTTAATAAGGACACAAATATTACTGGAGTTTTGTAGACTTAAGAAGTGAAATGGACCGCACCAAGAAAATCGATTTTAATAAGGACACAAATATTACTGGAGTTTTGTGCACGAGCTGATATTAAATCGATGTGCTTAAATGAATATCTTTTCTAAATAAAAAAGAGAAAAAAAACATGTTTTTTTTTTAAAACATGTTTTTTTTAAAGAACTCTTAATCACGTGGCAGAAGAAAGGAAAGCGCCCCATTTCACGTGATGAAGCCTAGGGTTGTCAAAAAGTGTCGTTGTTCGCGAACAGCTCGTGTTCGGCTCATTAAGAAGCTCATGTTTGGCTCTTTCGCTAAGTTAACGAGCCAAACACAAACAAAAATTTGTTCGTTCGTATTCGGCTCGTTTAGCTCAAAATACTACCCATCATATATATATATCAATTATATATATATATATATATA